CCAGTAATTGCTCCTGGAGGTCTCAATAGACATGGTAATCCAATCTGCAGACCAAATCCAGGCTGCCATGTCTCTCTGCTATAATTCCTGTGAGGGACCCAAAGCATGATGGCACGATGCTGCTGTGTCTGTGCAAGGCTGGATGGTAGACCTGTGGACCTGCTAGAAAAATAGCATTTCTGAAAACATGAGATTTAAAAAGAATGCTAGGGACCAGCCAACCACTAGATTACTAGTAAAGTTTTAGATTTGGGAGGCAGTTAGCAAATTCTTGGAACACAATGAAATTTAGTAGAAGCTTAATTACTAACCTTTCAATATATGTAGGTTAGCTAAGGACAGAGAAAGTGGTGTCAGACAAGATACCTATACTTCATCCTTGGGTCAAGAAGCTCTAATTCTACTGTGGAAGCTTTAAAAAGTAGTTAATTTGTTTTGTGCACACGGCTATGCAAAACTGATAATTCAGTTTTTGAAGTCACAAACTGATGGGATATTCCTTGTGTGTACAAGGGATCTGGAGTGTAAAGCTTTTAGGTGAGTGACTTCTAGGGGGACCCTGAGTTTGGCAAGTAAGCACACTCAGCCAAAACAACTCCTTTTTTGGGACTTACTGCTGCTCATTGCAGCAAAGCATGTAGCTTTTTCATTTAAGTAGTTTCAGTCAGAAATGTGATTTGCCCTGCTCCTAAATTTGGGTTGGAGAGCAGGAAAGTAAAATGTGATCCTAAAATTTGTAGGTGTAGTTTTTGTCTGCTTGTTTTCTAATTAGAATTACAGTCCTTTAAGCAAGTCAGTCTATCCACAGATTGTTTATGAAGCTGTGACTTTTATTGTGAGTTTTTTAGACATTGTATTGCTGAACTGTATTAACCACACATGCCAACTAGAAGCCGACTTTCTTCTTGCTTGGTCTTCCATAGCAAAGATTGGAAATCTAGTCTGCTTTTCTTCCCACCTTGGTCCAGTCCATCTCAGTGCAAAGTAACATACCTAACAGGGCCAGTTTTGCAGTTGAGGACAATAGCTTCAACTACAGGGGGATTGTGCAGGCAGGTGTCCGTGATGGTAAGTGACCTGGCTTACCTTTCACTTTCCTTGAAGGTTTGCAAGTGCAATAGTCAAATATCATCTGGAGACCCAGTGGCCCTAAGTCAGGAATCCTGACTCTGTGAGACAACAGCTTTTTCAGTTGTCTGCAACCTCACTGAATTATATGCTTCTTAATAGCTGAGAAATACTCAACAGTTCATTTCTGAGCATTGCAAAGCTGTAATGGATTATCTATTAACAGTTTAGAGCTCGTATCTGATGGGTCACTTAGACCTGTTTGTGCTAGAAATGGAACAGCTTTTAAAACGGTTCCAGATGGGCTTGTATTATGTGCAGAGAACAATGTCTCTGAATGTTGAGAATAGATGGTGAGCCTCAGTCCTGTTATTAACTGTAGATTGCAACAACAGTTACTTCCAGGTGCATCTTTACAGAGTTGCTGTACACTTGTTCAACTGACAAATAACTTGGTTTCTTCATAGTTGGTGAATACAAGTGAGAATTTGAGCAAGAGTCGCAAGATCCTCCGTTCTATGTCCAGGAGGTGAGTTGGGTGACTTGACTTACAGCAGCACTCAGCAGGTACCACTGTTGTCTGTCACTTTCAGACAAAAAATAAAGAACAGTGTCAGCTGGAACTGCAGGGAGGTTTTAGGGAATGTGTAAATGGAATGTATGCCCATGTGCAGATGCTGTTTTTTCTCTCTCTGATGATTACTTAATGGAGTACAGGTAGTGAATCTGTGCTGCTTATTTAGGATAATATGGAGTCTTTAACCATGCAGCATGATAAACTGCTGAGGATGTAAGCAGGTTACTGTGAATTGCTAATGGTAACTTCAGATGCAACTCCTTGTTATTCAGGTTGGAAAAAGCTGTGCCATGAACCACTGCAGTACTGAATTAGATGTCTGATGACACAGACAAATCAGTTTAGCCCATAGCAAAGCCCTAAAGCAGCTGGACTATCCTGTGAGAAACTGAGCCTGACCATATGCTGTTTTGATTACTAAAGCATTGATGGCTTAAGTGTATTTACAGTTTCTTAACTATATGGTTTAATTATTCTTATAAACTGGCTCATGGAATGTAGTTCTGGAAGGTACTTCTGGCCAAACAACCTTCCTTTATAACCATTGCTAAAGAAAGTTATTATAAATGTACTTTAGCTATTGAAAGTTAGAGTATTATTCTGAGATTCTGTAGCTTTACTCCAACTACATAGTTCCAAGTAAAAGCACCACAATGTGGGTTTTAGCAGAGAAGTTCAACTGATGTTTTCTTCTTTGCATAACTGAATGAGCTGACAAGAACATGATCTGCCTTATATGGTGGGGGAAGTAGAACAGAACTGCTACTGTTGAAGTAGAAGATCTAAGCAGAATTTCCAGAAAAACATGAGTAGGAAACTGAGTTTGTCCCTTCCTGCTTGTTAAGAGGTATTTGAGGTCTACCTGAAACAGGGACTATATTATTGAAGGTAAGACAGTGATTATCTAGAATACTTTCATAATCAAAGGGGAAAAAGTTATCTTGGATTTTTTTTTTTTCCACTCTAGAATAACCACTAATAAGTTGTTGCTGTCAATTATCATCATCTTGGAACTAGCCATCCTAGGAGGTTTGGTCTACTACAAGTTCTTTCGCAGCAGATAAGTCTTGATGACTGAGATGAACTTTTCCACTGTTGAGGAACTGGAGGGGCTGTCTGTTCACTCTATCTTGAGGGATTGAACTGTCTCATGAGACAGCATGTTCAACTAAAACTGTACTGACACAGGAAAGACAGAATGGGAATAAAAGGAAAATGCAGAGACAGTCTTGAACTACTGGTAAGATGAGTAAGAAGGTAATAAATATTTTATTGTCCCCATTTGTATATACTAAATGAATAAATCTTAGTATGTAATAAAGTAGCCACTGATCAGTGGAAAAGCTAGTTTATTTAAAAATTGAGAAGTTAACAGTATTTGCCAAGTGTTGACTTTCCATTCAAGTGCCTCAGCAGAGCTGTATAATGTCCAACGTACCCAACACTTTGGGTTCTTAAATCCTCACTTGCTCTTCACTGTCAGATTCATCTGGAGAACTGGGTGTTGGGAGTTCATCAAAAGCAATGTGTGCTCCTTCCCTTGTCTGCCCAAAGCACGTTGCTATCACGTCGACTGCCAGACTAGCAGTTGCGTTCACTTCCTCTTGAGAAGCTCCAAGCAGTGGATTGACTTCAACCATGTCTACAGCTGAAAGCATTCCTGTGAAAGTGATTTACAGGTGTTACTATGAAAAAGAATAACATCTCTAATAGGGTTTCTTTTGCAGCCTTTCATTCATTGCAGCAAGTCTGATATTTGAGCTTTGCTCCCTCTTAGACAAGTAAAATTGGCTCTCAGGTGCAGGATAAGGTTATCATTCTTAGATGCAAGTTTGTGTTTTGAATTTGGTTCTTTCTTACATCATCACTACCTCAGTCATGCTTGTAGCATTCAGAAAAGTTAAGTTTGCTGCTCCATATACACTTATGAGATGAATGTTTTTTAATCTTGTTTTCTCCCAGTCCAAAATTTACAGGATATAAAATAGTTTCACCTAGCATTTTTTGCCATCCTGTTCATGGCTCTATTGACTGTGTCTGGTGGTGGCTTTTTTCCTTCTTTTACTGCAGCTAACTTTGTTTAAACACAAACTTAATGGCATAAGAAGGAAAGTCCTTTTATATAAAAGTCAACTGTAGCATACTTAGTGGAAGCTGGAGTGTTAGTTTTGAATCCTAGAACAGAACTTCAAACTGTTTAAAATTGCTTGAGTTAATTTTTTTTATTCCAGATGCCCATTTGTACATCTCACCTCATTTGTTGAGGAATAGAGGACAGTATTGTACAAGATGACCACATGATTTTTGATAGTAGTTGTTAATATTATGTATTTGATTTACTTTTGCGCAAAGTTGTTGACATTTAAGCTGCTTCCAACACCTGGGGTTTTGTCCAACCACTGGACTTTTTTGCCTTACTGAAGTTCAAATTGACTTTATAGGCACCTTAGCTGTGACACATTTTATCTAGTTACAGAGGAAAAGCAACCAGCATGAGCTCTATATAGTTTGTTCTGTCTTTGCTTAGTCCAGTACTGTTGGTCAGCTCCTACCTGTGTTGTGTATTTCTTCTGTGATGTACATGCCTTCTCTGTAAGTTAATCCACCGAGAACAGGAGTACCAGTTGCTGGAGCCAGTGAGGGATCAAAAGCATCAATGTCAAAACTGAGGTGAATTGGTCTTTGTCTCCTGAGACAGAACAAAACAAGAAAAGCAATCTCAGAACCTTAAACTTTTTCTACATGCATTTCTTCCTGTGCAGGCTGATCAGCAAAGTAGCCTCATGCTCCGTAATGCTAAAGGTCCCCCCCTAAGTCCTATACATGTCTTATACATTTGGAAAGGATTTTTTTTAAATACCTTTGGACTCCAAAATATCTTAGCTCAGAACATTCCTAGGTACAAACTGGAAAAACAGAAGTTTGTCTTTCTAGTTTCATTAAGTATCCACTGAGGTGATTTGGCTGAAGAGAAGTACTTTAGTTCTAACTATCTTATCTGGTGTTCTGTCTCCTCAGTTGGAAAAATGCATAGAAATGTATTATATAATCCAGCCTTTCCTCCTTTTGTACAGAGACCCAGGGTGAAAGGCTGAAACATTGATTTGTGTGGCATCTAGGATGGAGGAAGCACCAAGCTTGAGGATTTCCTAGACAGCTCATCAAGGTGAATGGGGCATTCTGCATTTTTCAGGTCAATAGTTGAAGGCTGCCTCCAAACTGCCATGTAAGCCTAGTTGATAAAAAAACTGAAGGATAATCTCAAACCTAAACTTTTAGTTAGTTACTAAACTGAGTCTGACAATCAATGACAATTTAAGAACTTGGATACTGCTTGTTCACTCAGATGAAGTTATTTAAGTGGCAGACTGTGTAATTACAATTTACTGCAGATACTCAATAGGGAGAAGGACTTGGATTAGCAACCACTTTACTTGGCACAGCTGCAGCTGGGAAGGGTGAGCACACCTTTAGACACAACAGCATGCAGCACAGATACATGGACCTTGTTTTGCTTACAGAACTTGGTTCCATCCTGTGGTGAGAGGTTACCCACGTTAACTCTGATCTGCTTCATGTGTCCCTAAGCAGAATTTGCTCCCTGCTGATTCCCCAATATTGAACAAGGTTAGCCATGATTTCAGTACTGAACATCAATTAAGGGAGTGGTTACAGTGAAGTTCACTAGCTGAACTGAAAGTTGCAGTTGGTCATCAGGATAGCATATGTGAGCACAGTCTTAAGGAGAAAGCCATCAAATGCTTCTACCTCACATGCTACCAGCCAATTTCATGTTATTATCAGGTTGCTGTGTATATTTTTAAAATATATATATAAGAGTATAATATAAATCCTAGACTCAGAGTTGATTCAAGGATCCTGTCAAACTGCAGCAAAATGCATAATTTCTCAAGAAACAGAACAAATCACAAAACAGAGCCACAACTGTAGTGATTAATGTACCCTATCTTGTAGCTTCTTGCCAAACACTGAAATGGTTCCAGTTCAAGATGTGGAGGTTGAGGGCTAAAGTCAGTGCCAAGACTTGATTATTTACTGGACAATGTCAGTTGTGTTAGGCTGCCTTACATCAAGATTTACCTTTGCTTAACTTTCAGGAAAGTGGTTAATCAACAACTGGATGATAAGAATAGCTTAAATCAGATAAGTTATTTACCTGCCCATCAGTCGTTCAAATGTTCTTTCCATAACTTTCTGTATTCCAAGGCGATCAATGTCCCTCATAGAAAAATACTGGATATCATAGTTCTTCAAAATATAGCTGTTGAATTAAAAATAAACACATTACTGGCCTAAGCTTAAGTCTAGCAACCCTTGTGAGCAGCCAGATGTGGAAAACAGCTCACGATTTCACCTTTTACAAAAATCCTTTAAGTCAACTTACTACTCAGCAGGATCCACATCCCTCAAACCAATGTACACGATATCAGATGCTGAAAGGCAGGGCTTTAGCCAGGAAAAGCCAGGAAGTTGTGGTACCTGCAAGCAAAGGTTAGTTTAGGTATTAGGTTAATGACAGAAGTAACAAGATTGTATATAATGCTTCTGTCAAAACTCTGTATGTCTTTATAGCATTTTCTGTCTAAGCAGAGAAATCTCATTACTTGAAGGTATGCTTTCTTGTTTTAATCTGTCCTTATCTCTGTCATACTGCTTTACCTCAGTTGAATGTTTATAGATAAAGTTATTAACTCTTCTAGCTTTTCCAGTTTGAAGAGGAAAAATCAAAAGCACAAATCCACAAGCAACAGGTCATTAGCATCATTCAGTGTTAAAGGGGAATGGTGAGAAACTAGACGCCCAGATGTAGATCACTTATTACCATTAAATGCCCTGTATATAACTGATCCAGTGCATTATACTTAAGTGGAAGAATAAAAACCAAGGCACCTCTCTCTCTTTAGAAGAATCACCAAAAGCCATGTAAACTTTGTTGCAAAGGCAACATCAGAGATAAAAAAATTCAAAGTGGGAAGTTAAAAAAAAAAAAAGCCTGATAAGAAATTGAGACTTATCTTTTTTTAATGCAGAGTGAGGAGAACAGGTCTAGGAGAGCAAGATGATGTCACAATGATTCATCTTTACTAATTAAGTAGCCATAGTATGCAATTATAAAATCCTTCAGTTAGTAATATCTACTAATTTTAGGCATGCTTTCAATTAACTCAAATTTCTCTTCTTCCTCTCCCAGCTCTGAAAGCCAACACAGCTGTCAAACAGCAAGAAGTTTTTGTTTCCCTCATACTGCTTGATTGCTAATTAGATTGTAGTTATTACATTTGTATTTATTTTTAAAGGCTAACACACCCATAGCTTTGCTTAATTATGCTGGGATTAAATAAGCATGAATAATAAAAGTATTTGTTATTCTGGGCAATGACCTGAAACTTTTAATACAGTCATGAATTGAGAAGAGGGATAAATGAATTGGAGACCACTAGAAAAAGTAACTCAGGTCTCAGAAATGAAGTTGCATCTGGAAAACTGAAAATCATACCATAAGCTGAACACAGTATTGATAATGTAAATTTATGCTAGAGAATATAACAAGATTTAATAGTGCTATTTTAAATTCTATCTTCTCTTTAAATAAAGAAAATGGAATGTCTTAACATTCTTTGGTAAGCTGTGTTTATACTTTGATGCAAAAGAAAGGGAGTTGCTGATAATAAAGCCAAATAGGCATCAGAAAGAGGTGCAGGCATTTTTTTATGGTAAATTATTAATAGCAGCTTATAAGTTTGGTTTGAATGGTTCCAGGAGCACTGACACTAATGCTTGCTTTAAGGAATGCCAGTAAGAGGATTATGTTAATAGATATTTTCCCTTAAAACAATAAAATTAATTTTGAAAGTTTTTTTAGAACTCTGAAGTGCCATCTTGTCTCAAGGAGTACCAAGCAGTGCTCCTGTTAAGCTAACTGGACAAACAAGCAGCATTTGACAGCCTGTGACTGGACTGTGCAAGCAACACCAGGGCTTGTTCTGCAGCCATGTTGTCAAATGCTTTATTTAATTTCATACCCAGATGCATAACTTTTATATTTCATGTTGTCTGCTACATGGGGACACGTGATTCAGTAGAGCATTGACCAAGCTCATTAGCCCTGGATGCTTAAGGGATTCTGAAAACCAGTGAGGTAACACAAACTGAGGTACCTGACTGGCAGCTGTGCCAATTCGAGCAGTTGCTGCCATACCATTTCCCCCCTTGTTGCTCTGCCTTCATAGGGTCATACAGCAAACAAGGGCTAGGACTTGATGCATCTCAAACTAACCAAAGAGACAGTGCTCCTGGCTCAGGTTTCATGCAAGCCCACAGGTTACAGCAGCACAACTATGTTGCTCATGTGGGGTCAAGAACAGTATAGATGAATTGTGCCACCAAGAGAATGTCCTCTAGATAGAAAATGAGGAACAGGTTGCTTGGAGATGCTAGAAGAATTTGCAGAGATGGGCAATGAATCAGAAAGAGAAAATATAATCACGCAGGCTATTTTGTTCTCTTTTTATATCCTCAAAGGGACTTCTGTTTCTTTGTGGTTCAACAAAACAATCAAGACAGAAAGCCAAGTCCTAATTAGCCCTCCTGAGACTAGGGGGTTGATGACCAAATCTTAGAGGCCCAGAGAGACAGTTTGATGGATTTATAGGAATCCACCCAGAGAAGCATGCACAGGTGTGTCATGATGAAGAGGGACATTGCTCAAAAAGCCTTTCACAGTATGAGAGCAAGCAGGGAGAGAGAGATAGAGGGCTCACTGAAAAGTCTCTTTTCTCCTCTCACACTGCCATGCTATGAACCCTTTCAGAAAGATAGAAGCCTCCTTTAGAAGCAAAGGGCAACTAACCGGTTAGCTGGTTTGTTGCTTTGAGAAGGAAGTTATGCTTAGCAGATTGTAGGAGTAGAGTAGGCATCCTGCTTGTGGCAAGCAGTTGCAGGATTCAAAAAGAATCCTTGCAAAGCAGTCAGGAAAGGACAGTAAATCTTTGTCCCATTACCAAAACAGCTGCTCTCCTGGATGAGGGAGCAAGCCACACACTCCTGTTCACATATAAAGGTGCCCTCCTGTGTAGCCAGACAAGCTATTGTCTAAGGCACATTCTGTTACTGATAAACAGCTGTTTATAATGTTGTAGAAGCCACCTGGTACCAGCAGGACAAGTGGTGTTTTTTCCTCCCTCTAAAAAGGACTACACTATGGTAAGAAAACCCTGAGTAAGTGCCTGCCTGCATGGCTGAAAATACAGGTTGAAAGGCTTGTGTCATGTTTCTGCACAAGCTTCCTGACAGCTAGAATTGAGGTGGGCTTGTGACAAGGTCTCATAACCAACACTTGACTAACTCACTAAGTATAACCTAATCTTACTCTTTCTTCATACTGTTGCTGACAAGAGTCCAGCTCCCCCACTGACCCCAGAAAGCTCACAATATTATTTTACTAGCTCTAAAAAAAATATAAAATATTGCTTTTCTTGCTGTTCAAGAACCAGAGCCCAGCAGACCAAACTATCAATGTATACACAGGAAGCTGCTTAAGTACTTTTTGTCCTACTCACAGAAGATGAAAGCTGCATCTTACTCTGCTTTTTTGCTCCTCTGGTAGTTGAGATAGTTTTGATTTGCTTTCTTCTATTCTCAGTGAGACAAAGCTCCAAAGCTAACAAAATTTTATATTGCTCTTCCCATCTCTTCTGCAGAAGTGGGTGGAGTTGCCAAAAAGAAAAATATTACCAGCTATAAATACAGTAATCTTTTATATTAACCTTCTCATGTAATTTCAAGAAGCCCCATTAATCTTGCATTACTTTGGGAATTCTAACGTGGTTATAGAGACCACACTGCACTTATTAGAATGAGAAAAGTATGTAAAACCACCAAATTATTCTATTGACTTGTGGATGGAACTAATTAAAAAGAATTTACAGGAGAAAAGCAGAGGAGCTTTATCAGTTGATAGCAAACTTGCTATGTCGGGAAGGTGCTAACACAATGGTATCTTCAATAGCCATGAAGCCATTAAACATGCTTAATCTTACTTGGAAAGTGTCATAATTCCATCAACACAGCACCCCGAAAATTTAGCAGAGAAAAAAAATAAATCTAAGATAAATGACTAGCAGTGCATAGTGCCCAGACAAAACAGGCAGGTCTTCTGCAGCTCCAGCATCCATTCTCAACCTGCAGTGGCTGATCTGCTTCTGCTGAAGCTTAGGCTGAAGAGCAGGAGCAGGACTGTCTTAAGTTCTTATGCAAAGGCCCCAGCTATTAACAGCGCACAGGCTGCCACTGATCTGCAGTAGATGCTACAGGTATCTGCATGGGGAGATGGAGTCCACAGCTAAGCCAAAAGGGATGTGTAGGCCTCAGGTCAACCTACTGTTTAGCATCATGTCAGTAGTAAGGAAAGACTGGCCATGCACATTCCATACACCCCAGTAAACAGCTCTCTTTCCGATAATCTGACCTCTTTCCACAACAAAGAGTATCTCTTTAAGAGCACCCTGCAAGCAGGTACAGCTGTTCTGATTTGTGATATTTGCCAGTGGAGCCAACATCAGAGCAGCCAGATCATGCAGGAACAGCCCTTGTCAGGCCCCAAGGTTGTCAAAACATGGAAGAGCCAAACTACCCAGGAGAAGCATGCAGGGTATGCAATACTTGCTGTCACTGGAGGTGAGCTCAGCACAGCTCTTACAGGCTAGGCTGGGGGGAGGTTCCCTCAGCTGGTACAATTGCTGCCATTGCACAGCATGGGCACCCAATCCACTCCTTAAGCAGAATTGACACCATGGTCAGCAGGTACATACAGCTTGTGTGAGCTCCTGCTTACTGTACAACCCACAGGGGTACTAATACCAAAAAAAAGCGCTTTTTCTCATTCTTGTTTCTAAGTGTGCATATGTATATCTATATTTACGTGTGTGTATATATATATACACACATGTATACACACAGAAGTGCATATTTTTGCCTGTAACCAAAAAAGGTCTGCATTTGCAACAGATGAGAAAGCACCACGCACCAGAAAAAGTAAAATGCTCTGAGGTTTTCAATGTAGGCTGACTGTACAAGCAGGGGACTTACTTTATCTTGAAGCTCTCTCAAGAGAAAGGAGAGAGGTTGTCCATGGAGGCTTCCAGACTGAGTTGTAAGAGGGGTGTTGATATCAGCATGTGCATCCACCCAGATCACACCAAGGTGTGGGCATTGTCGTGCGTGGCCACTGACAGAACCAAGTGCCAAGCTGGAAGTACAGGAGCAAAGTCTTTAGTCTCCATTTCTTACAGAACAACTACAAGGCACAATGGGAAGTCTGCGACATCAATCAGCAACCTTATCATGTTTCAACACATCAGACATTTATGACAATAAAGGGGGCATCCCATACAAACTGCATGGCATGTCCCTGTCATTTTTCCAGGAGAATCCAAGTAACTCTACAGGATTGTGCTAGTCATGACAGATGAGAAACAGCACTTTCCTGTCACCCTTCCCACACTCCAATCTTCACTTATTCTAGCTCCAAATTAACTCTTTGTGCTTATTCATCACTTCTGCTATTCACCCATTTTTTCATTCCAGGCATGACACCTCCCCCCCACAATTCATTCTCACATTCTACCTTTTTCATCCAATTCTCAGACCAAAGGTTAGTGCAAAAAGAGAGGAAAGAGATTCAGGTTATAAGATCTATTACAAAATGGTCTGCATGCAACTATTAGAAACCCATTCCAAGAGCTGAGAGCTTAGAGAAGCATCACAAAACATTCAGCAATAAAGAAACTGCAACAGTTCCTGATTACACAAACTTTCCCAAACAGGAAAACCTGATTTGTATGTCTGCAGATTGCAGAACAGTGTGGAACAAAGCAGGAATACCTCAGAAGGTCCAATTTTTGTAGCAGTTTTCTATGTTCCACCTTAAAAGCCCCAGCAATCAAAGTGCTGCTACCCTATGATACAGCTAGGAAATGACCCCAAGTTATTCCCACTGTCCCCTTATTTTTAAATTAAATTCTTATATTCCAAGTGTCGACCTGCAGCATGCACCACTAATTACATCTAGTTCAGCTCACCTGTGATCACCTCCTATAGTCACACAGCTGTGTCCAGCAGCTACTGCTCTGCTTACAGCATCAGCCAGTACCTGGCTGGCTAAACCCACTGACCGTGGATATAAAATCAGGTTGTTGTACAGTTCATCGTTGGGAACTTGAGGGAAATTCAAGTCTCCAAAGTCATACACTTGGCATCCTGGAAACACAGCAGGGAAAGGAGAATGTGAGTAAGTGACCAGAGAAATGTTCAAAATATGGTCCCCATAATACAGTCGGGCAAGTATAAAAGGAGTAACAGGAATGGAATGAATTTATTTGACTATATGCATGCCCTTGCAAAAAACTGTCACAACTTCACTGATTAGAAAGCTTAAAGTAGTATAATTGCTTTAATTTAGCAATGAGACAATCACAGGAAGCCATCTAGAAAAACAGAATTGTTTTAAAATTATTTCTTGGCAATTTTAGCATGAAAAAGTATGTCTGTATTGCCATCTTGCTTCCCAATTAGACAGGTTATATACAGCCTTAAATGAGCTCACAGATGCCTAGGACTGTACATTTCACTAACTGTACCCAAGTCCTTGCACTTATTTTCGATTTTCAAACAAGAATCCAGGCACAAAAGGGCCAAATTACCAATAATGGAAATGTGCTTACAGTACTTCGAAGCAATTCCATTGAGGATGCACTAGTGTAAGAGAAATTGTCCATTTTCTCAACACAGAATAGGCAGTTTAATTCTAGGGCTTGGATCCTGACCCTCTCCGAGATCCTGTCTTTGGCAGCTACACCTTAATTGGGTGTTGACACCTGACAAACATGCTGGGTCTAAGACTCAGCCTTTCCTAGAGTGCATTTCTGTCCACTTACCCTGAAAAGCAGTAATTTCAAAGATTAGGGAACATATTTGAGTGATTTGGTTTTTTCCCCTCCTCTACCCAACTAGAAGCATATTAACTGGATGCATTTAAAGTTTAATTCTCTTTCATAGACATTATAGAGCTTATCCCTAGAAGCTCTGTTCTGCAATACTGTGTGCTTTCTTGACAGTCATTTAGGTAGAAAAATCGCTAACAGTTATTTCAAAGGCCATAGCCTCTCAGTTCCAGATGGGCCTGTTGCTGCAGGCACTGATGAGAACTATAAAGGTCTCAAGGTATTTACAGCTACACCAGTGGTGCCTTAAGTCAAGGCCACCCTGAAGACCAGTCAAGCCTGTCTCTTTTGTCCCTCTGAATCACTCATCTGTTTGCAGTTCAAAGCGTTTAGGCAAGAGCTCGACACTCTGTCCTTAGCTATCCCATGCCTAGGAAAAATTAAGGCAAGCAAACCAACATGAAGAAATAGCCCACTTGGTGCTTGGGGCTTCCTGCTTAATTTCCATTAAGCTATTAGTCTAATGTCTAGGAGACAGACTCTGAATTTGCTTGGTGTAAATACAATAAAAGCAGCATTGAGAAAAACATGACTATTCTAATTTCAAAAAGAGTTCTGATTGCTAGAAAGCATGAAGGCAAATGGTTGAGTCACTTGAGAATTAAGTGCCTGGGAAATAGGCAAGTATACTTTTATAGCAGGGACTTCTGTCAGGGTATTTGCTAGGAGAAGATGCGTCAGCTGAGCACAGCTATTTGACAAGTATTAAATAAATGTAGTCTCAGCAACTCTGAGAAAATACATCATCTGCACAGACTTAATGCACTAAGCAGGACTGCAACATACCACTCCCTAGATTTCAAGAGGCAACACAGGCAAACAGCATTTTACCCCTTCCCTTAGGCTATACCTAATAAGCCAGTAGGATGATGTATCTGGAATTTTGAGCCCATTTTGTTCAGATTTGAATGTGCTATCCGATCTGTGTGACCACTACATTTTTTTTACTGTTTAATTCTGCTGCTGTGCAGAATCAGGAAAGAGCTGCAAGTTCTGATATATCTTCAATGAATGTCAAAAATATATTTCTTTATGTCTTCCTGCAAGACATAAGTACTTCATCAAAATCTGTTGGAGATGCTGTACAAGTTAATACCTTTGATTTAAAACGTCTGATATCTATGGGAAGTAAATCCACAGTTAGGTCCTGTGTTCAGCAACTTACACATTGCAGGACAGCACAGTACACAGTGTAATGGAAGAAAGGACTGCCACCTATGTTTAGTTCTCTCTTACAGGATATCCAATCACATCACAGCATTTCTGCCCATTAAAAGATGCACAAGAACGAAAGGAAAATATATCATGAAGCTCCATCTTTAGATCAGTGTAAACACAAAGAATCAACCATGACATCTTTCATAGCACCTCAAGGAATTGGTTAAGATTCTTCAGGTTATGCTCCAGGCAGGCCAAACAGGGCAGATTCTAGCATGTGTATTTAGAGAATTATCACTTGGATTCAAGAATTTCTCTTCTTTACCGCACCTTCCTCCCAGTCCCATTGGTAAGGCAAAAAAGACTGGCTTCAAACTTTGAATAAAAATGCCTTTCATTTCTTATGATCACATCAGGCCCATACAGCTTATGGTGGGGTAAAGATGGATGGACAGACACTTTTGGGGTCCAGAATTCTGGGATCTTTTCCACCTTTTGGACAAATGGTACTCTTGTATCTCCTGCATTGATGTCTCTCTCCAGTTATTTTTCTAAGAAAGCCTACTGTCAAAGAAAAATATATGGCTTCAGTTCCTGTTACCACCTGCAAAAGCTTATTGTTTTTCAGATAAGAGTTAATAAACCTTGTAGAGGCTTCTTTTCTCAGCCTTGTGCTTCTCTCTTACTTAGGCACACTGTTTTTGTGCTTGCAGAGGACAGCTCAAGTCTCCCAGAGTAGTAAATTTGCAGCCAAGCATGCAGCAGCTATCTGATTAAGATATAGTTAATCTCACAAGTACACACTAATCAAATCCTCAAACATTACTATCTTTCCTTTCTACTATTTTTTTTTTAATTGTCTCTAGAGTTTTGAAAGCTGTGATTGAATGACCTTACAGCAAAAGCAAATCTTAGTGAATAAATAGTACACAAAAATTCACAGTACACAGATAAACCATGTATCTTGAAGCCATTAGAAGTATGCATGCACAAGTGTGCACATATATTTATTAGCATTGACCAGACATTGAAGATTAAATCAACATGTACGTTTGTCTTAATGCTTCCTGAGCAGCAAAGAAAAAGAATCTAGGTAGAATTATTAAAGTAATTATTGATGCATTTTCTTAGCTTCTATTTATCATGTCTCAGATATTAGTCTAATACTTAAAAGACCTGAATTATTTTCCATTTAATCTGCCTGCTTGCATTTAGTTTTGTTTTAAAGAAATTAAACTAAATTTTTCTCAACTACATTATTTTGCTAAACATACAAGTTGCTCAATGGATAGACATGGTCAAGTGTAGTGCAGCCTGGTGGATCTTGCTGTTATTTGGCCATTAGTGAAATATTTCTATAACCCACTACACCACACAACTCACATTTACTTTCTTTGGTACTTGGGGCACTCTAAGATACTAATAGCTATAAACAGCTTTTTCTATCAGCACACAAAGTTACCATTAAGATATGAGTCTTAAAAGACAGTAGATCCAAATTCTGAAAACTGGAAAAAACGTGGGCAGATAGGAAGGCCAGCTTCCTTACATTCAATAGAAAGCACAGAACCCACACCATCAGTCAGTGCAGCAGATCAGGTCTAGCCAGGGTTGAAGTTCTTTTTACATGAAACAATACCATATAGTACTGACAGACTCAACACCACAGACTTCTGCTAGTAACTAAATAGTATTAAATTAAACATGATCAAAAGAAGTCTTTTGTTTCACTTCCAAGCTCTAACAGAAATTACATTCCAGTGAAAAATATGTTCTCTTTGATTCATTAGTCAATTAAAAACTCAGAAAATTTGTAACAACCAGGTCTATACGAGTCCATCAGCCCTCTGGCTCAGGAGGAGATCCATTTTTCAAGTGATCAAAACAAAAAACACACCCCAGGTTTGATTAATCTATTTATGTCACAGGAACTTGAAAGACATGAGGGAGATAAAGGTAGCAATCTGACTATTAACACACAGTATAGTTACATCAATAAGACGCATATATGCATAACAGCCCTCCTGTTGTTACTATAAATTATTAGCATTTAAAGCCAGTACACATCTCTACAGCTTAGGAGCGCAATTCGCAGTGGTTCTATGCTCCCTCAGACAGTTCCATTAACAGAGCTGCTTGGGGGCACAATTCAGCCAGAAATTAATAAACTAGCTTGAAATAGTTTGTACAGTAGACCTTTCCTAGGTCCATCTCTTTTGACCAGAACAGGTTAGAAAAGGCCACACAGGCATTTAACCAGTAGACCAGGGAATGATGAGCAGTTGCTTCTTCAGCCTGCACTGCCAGAACCAGAATCTTACCTATGTCTGGCAAAAAACAATACCACATTTTTTTCATCGTTATGAGCCCAACTTATACCTAGGCAAAAAAGCTAGAAATACCAATTAAGAACAGATTTAGGATAAGAAGTTTCCTGCATGCCTTTTCCAATAACCTATTAATGTAGGCCAAACCAAATAATGCTTATAACTGGGACCTGAGGTGCCTTTTAGCAAGCTGTATGGCAATGGGAACATGCACTTCCTATCATCCTAAGCAAAATACAGTCCATTTATTCAGTGCCCACGGTAGGCAGCAGTTACTACAGCAAGTAATTTGCCTGCAGAGATTGAGCCATTTTTAATCTGTCAAAGCAGGTGGCTCATGAATCTGAGGGCATTTTAAATGGAAAACATCCAGGCAGCAGCAGGGAAAGCCTTCTTCCCATCCTCCTCTACTATGATACTGCACCAGAGCCAGAAGCAGCAATGTGATAGCAGGAGATTCAGTTTTCAAAACCCAGGCTGCCTGCTGATACCTCCCAATGGCATACTACTGTAACAATTGTAACAGCTCTCCCAGGCAGCAAACAGGAATTTGAACAAAAGCATGTGGAACATGAGATAGAAACGATCTCCTGACACTGACTCTTTACACTGGGTATTTGTGAGTTAGAGGTAAAACGTACAGCCTAAATTAATGGAAAAATTAAGTCTTTCCTCTTCTGGGTTTCTAAACCCTGCTGAA